GGGCTGGGCGGGGCGTGGGAGCGCCCCTGAGGGTTGCGATCCCGTTGCCGGTCCCGGTCCGGTGCGGGGGCAACACTGAGGGTTGCGGTCCCGTTGCCGGTCCCGGTCCGGTGCGGGGGCGACACTGAGGGTTGCGATCCGTTGCCGGACACGGAAAAAGACAAAAAAAAAAAAAAAAAAAAAAAGAAAGAAAAGTTATGTGCATTAACTCTCTCTGCTAAAAATTCCCTCCCATTCATTGATAATACTTCCTTACATTTCAGAATTCTAGAAAGAGAACTATGTTCTATAAATGACCAATGTTAGGTCGTTTGACCCTTACATTTATTTTTTAAAAATTAAACATCTATAATGTGCCAGGCACCCTGTTAGATGTTAGTAAATCAAAACATGTCAATAGTAACATTAGTTTTCTTTCGAAAGACTTGCAGCCTATGAAGCGGATAGAATACAGATTATTATTCACACGTTACAGGTAAAGGATCTAAGTGCACAAGAATTGAAAGTCTTATCTAAGTTCCCACATATAATAAGTAAAGAGGCAGGGCTTCAGTAATCATCCCTGGCTCCAGGCTCAGGGCACTCTCCAGTATTTCTTCCAAGGAAATCCCAGACTTTTTAGTATCTTAACCCGTCCATTTCCCAGGAACAAAGAGGAAAACTTCTTGAATCCCTTACAATGTTCACGTGCTCTTAAAAGCGGAACAGGTGTTCTCTGGGTGTGCTAGAAAAGCAAGGCACGAGTGGGAGTTAAAGATCCTGAACAGCCTTTGTAACCAGACCAAGTTAATCTGTGAAAATCGGAGCACCGGGCCAAGGAGATGCTATTTCAATTGGGTGTCACAGGTGACTCATCAGAGATGGCTTGCTTTGGGGCCTTCTGACATTTTTCTACAGGGTGGGGTGTCAGATTTCCTTTGCGTTTTTGGACAATAGCCCTCCTGTCCATTTCCACATTTTTCTGGCTACACAGCCCTCACGCAAAGACTGCTTTCACACCGGAAGCTAGTCATTGGCAGGAAGTTTAGGGAATGAAGCAAAAGGTAAAAAAAATGAGCCGAGGGCCGGGAGAGAGGCCTAAAATGGGGAAATTCTCACTTGAAGAGCTTTCCCTACCCCAGCCCCTCAGAATGACAGCTATCTTCAGCCAGAAGACTACCTCTCCCGGCAGGCACTGCGCGCCCCACGGACACTGGCTGGCCGGCTCCCTGCTCTCCACCTCCGCTCGAACCGGCCAATAGGAATCTCCGGCTTCGGCCTCCACCCGAGCCGGACCACGCGGGAGCGGGGGCAATAAAACTACACTTCCCGACGCGCATGTGTTCGCGCCGTGGCCAATCAGAGCCAGGAATCCCATGGCTAGGGGCGGAGCCGGATGCGTAGGCCATCCCATTGGCTAGGGGCAGCTTAGAAGAGCCGGAACCCGGGAGCAAGAGAAGCGAAATGACATTTCCTCTTTAAATAGCCGGAGCCGGGGCCCCAACGAGAAATGGCCGCGTCGGCAGGTGGGTCGTGTGGTGGCTAGGGCGCTGTGGAGAGAAGTGTGGTGGGAGGTGAGCCGGGGCCGGGCACAAGCTGCAGCCTGAGGAGGTAGCGATGAGGAGCCGGAGAGAAGGATGGAAAGGTGGAGGAGGGATGAGCGGGGAGAGGATGAATGGCGTGAGGGCGGTGGGCGGTCCGGCTGGACCGGGATGGGGAGGCTGGGTACCCGCCGCCCCAACCCCGTCGGGAGGCGGTTGAGGCAGCGCCGGTGGCCACTATCCGTCAAGCTTCCCTTATGAGGCTCCTGCCCTGCGCTCTCGGCTGGGACGTGCCGGCTCTCGGCGGAGTCCCCGCGGACGCCTCGCCTGTGCTGCCCGCGCGTTCCCTCCGCGAGCACCGCGCATCGGGCTCGCCAGGCTCCCGGAGGAGCGGGCTGGCCTTTGAACTTGTTCCGCAGCTCTCTGTCTGCTCTCGGTCTCCCAGATCCTACACTCGCGATCCCATGTGGTGGTGTGTATATACATGTATGTATTTTTGTAGGGGGAAAAAAAAGCCAAGAGAACAAACAAAAAAACCCCGTGATGCCGTTGCTGGCTCGGAACTTCTTGTGGTTGTACGATTTTTCTCCTAGATTTAAGTAAGTCTTCCCCAACACCGAATGGGATTCCATCTTCAGACACAGCCAACGATGCCATGGACCCCTTCCATGCTTGCAGTATTCTTAAGCAACTCAAAATAATGTACGATGAAGGACAGTTGACAGACATTGTAGTGGAAGTGGATCACGGGAAAACATTTTCATGTCATAGAAACGTTCTTGCTGCAATCAGCCCTTACTTCAGGTATGATGATGGTAGAAACTTCTATTGATATCTGCACCGAGCTCCCTTTCGCCCTCAGTATTGCCCACTTGGTTATTGTATTGAGATGTGACAATAAAGTGAAACCAATGAGTTTGTTTCCTGAGAATTGATAATATACCCTATCTTCTTAAGCCCTTGTTTTTCACTTGAGGGATTCTTCTAGAGTTCAGGTGGGTTGGTCTTTAAGTTAGTGGACCTGTGTTTGTTATCTATGAGATAAATGACCAGAAAATCTAGAGCGGTGCTGCCCAGTATGGCAGCCACTAGCCACATGTGGCTATTTAAGATTCGATTCAATTCAATTAAAAAGTCAGTTTCTCAGGTACACTAAACACATTTCAAATGGTCAGTAGCCACATGTAGCTAGGGGCTACCACATTGGGTAGCATTTCCATCATTAAAAGTTTTATTGGACAGTGCTGATCTAGAATTTGTTCCAAAAAGTAATTTATGATGCATATTTATTTAGTTCATGTAACTCTTTTAGAGTTTAAAACATAGTAGCCTGTTCCTTTAAATACAAATTACCGTTACATAGATTGTGTTAATACTGTGGGGGTAAAAGCAGTGGAATCAAAATGAATGAAATATAGTTTCTATGTGCCTTAGCTCCCAAACCAGTGATTATTTCTAAGGTTTCCAGAAGTATTTTTTTTTTTTTTTTTTTAAAATGACCAGTAAGGGGATCTCAACCCTTGGCTTGGTGTTTCGTATAACTTCGTATAATGTATGCTATACGAAGTTATTACGGTACCAGTAGCAAAACCTGCCAAAATGTGACAGATTAAAATGTCTTTAGACATTCTCAAATATCCCCTGGGAGACAAAATCACTCTTGTGGAGAACCCCTGCAATAGATGGTTTTGGTTTATTTTTCCCATGCGATTTGGGTAAACCAATCTTAGCAACTGCTGGTTTGTTTTAAACTCATATGTGTATGTGCCACAGATTGTCTTCTTACCTGCAAGGTCACTGAGAGTAGGTACGAGGTTTTGTTTATCTCTGCATCACGGAGTGTCTAGCACAGTCATGGTAATAATATGTTTGTCATTGGTGCTGATTCCCCAATATTTCTGGCTTTCCTCCTTCTGAGAATGAGAGAATTGGACTTCAAATCCAACTTGCAGTAAGAGGTGGCCACATGAGTTGTTTTGGCGGCCCTCCAGAAGTATTTTTAACCCAAGTTTTCATTTTCACTTATATGAATCTTTGTTTATCATAAAATTTAAAAAAATAAAATTTTAAAACTAGGGTCTGAAAAATAACTTCCTACTGTAAGAAAAGATGAATGGAAAAGGCGGTTTCTTGCCTTTTTAACTTTTTTTTATTTCGAGTGGTCACTTTTTCACAGACTTTCAGTATTCAAAAGTGGTGCATTCAAAAATGACAGTAAAATCATCTTCTCAACCACACCCTAAATGTGCCTTTTCCTTCTGTGAAGGCGTTTACCTTTAAAGGGCACATAGAAGTGTAATGTTCCAGATAGTTTCTGGTTCCTCTTTCTCAGAATACTGGGTTAAATATAGTCACTTCGGTCTGATGCTTGTGATGTAACCATTTAGACTTGCCTAGGGTAGGTCATTGGACTACTAAGTACTAATCATCACAAGACAGTGAGCTGGCAAGAAAAAAGATGAAACTCACATATGCAGAAGATATGAAGTTTGGCCTGGTAGTGGAAACTGCTGGTGAGAGTCACTTGCCCAGGCTATCCATTCAATATGGTTAGGTCATTTTTGTTTTTAAATATATGCCCCAATTACTACTTATCCAGCTGTGGGCTAAACTTACTTTACATGTATGGCCTTATAAAATCTTTATAATCTGTGCACAGTTATTATTTCCATTTTACATGTGAAGAAACAGGCTCAGTGAGGTTAAGTGACCTGCCTAAATCATCCATCTCACAAGCAAATGGCAGCAGCTGGATATGATTCCAGAGCCAGACTGCTTAGTCACTGTGTGACTTTAAGGAACAAGAATGGGTAGAGTGAGTACTCTTTGAAGTTTCCTTTTAAAAATAGTTACTGTATATTAGATTTGAATAGTAAAAAATAAAAATTGAAATTTCAAAGTGAAAACGTCTGTATCTTATTGAAACTTTATACTCTGGATTATATAATTCAAATGGCATATTTAATTAAAGTTAGTTTTGAAGACCTAGACAAATCACCTTAAGAGAATTATGCTACAGTAGATTTTCTTAATTTCCAAGAAGTTAAAAAAAAAAGCTTGGAAAACTTTTTGAGCATAAGATACATGCATTCAATAAAAGATATTTACCTAGAGAATTTAAGAATTAGGTACTTATCTTTTGATAGAGGTTTTTGTACAGAAGTATCTTGGCACCAGTGTTCCTATCTAGAAGGTCATACTTAATAATTTGTAAGTCTTGCATCACTTGTGGAAGATTAGAGTAGCTGGAAATCTGGCATGGCTGTTTCTTGACTCCAGTGACTTATCAGAATTAAAATTTGTATGATTATTACAAACTTTTTTACTACTCAGGATTTTGTGTGAGGAAGTATTCCCACTTTATATAGAATTTACATGAAGAGCCTATTAGAACAGAGGAGAACTCATCAAGTGTCAGACCACTCCTGTGTGTGAGATCAGCCTATTTAAGTCAGGAGAAGTTCCCATGGTAAAGGGATATGTGGTAATGTTCTCCTGTGGGAGTTAATCTCTACCTAATGAAGGACTTTATTTTTCTTTTTTAATTGGTAACAGTATAGGTGAGTCTTCCAGCACCTGAACTGAAACCCAGCTCATACATAGGAACATCTAGTTTTTAGTTATCAAAAAAAAAGCTTGTGTGAGGGCCGGCCTGGTGGCGCACTGGATGGTGTGCCGCTTGGGAAGTGCGGTGGTGCTCCCGCCCGAGGGTTCGGATCCCACATACAGACCGGTTCCCGCTCGCTGGCTGAGCGAGGCGCGGGAGCAACGCCGAGGCTTGCAGTCCCGTTGCCGGTCCCCGGTCCGGTACGGGGGCAACACTGAGGGTTGCGATCCGTTGCCGGACACGGAAAAAAGACAAAAGACAAAAAAAAAAAAAAAAAAGCTTGTGTGATATTAAACTTAAAATTTACATCATAGAAATAAAAGTGGGACTCAAAGGTGATTAACCCACTCAGCAAGCTGGGTCCTTGTACCTACAGTGTTTCTCATACTGCGTTTCAAAACTAATTCCATGTAGAAATCTTCCCTAGTAAAGGTATTTTTCATAACATAGCACTTAAAAATAAAATGGGAAGGGTCTGGACCTGAATAATCAACTGTATCACAAATGTTACATCAATTTCTTTAACAAACATCTATTAAGCATTCTAGACATGAAAACAAGATAAATAGCACACAGTCCTTTCCTCAAAAGCTTGTTAAAAGAGCTTTTCATTTTTGTATTTAATTTTAATAGTAGCCTAGAATGAAATCTTAAAGGAGGGAAAAGAAGGGCAAACTATGTAAATGACTAATACTTAAATAAGGAGCCAGGTTTTGGGCTACTTAATGTGCTTGTTAAGAAAGTCTCATAAATGCACTGACATTTTAATTAAAAAAAAAAAAAAAAAAAGCTTGGTGTCAAAAGCAAAAGTCTGGGATTTTAAAAATCATTATCTCCAAAGAATCAGTTAAATGCTAAACTCTTTAGAAGGTGGCATTATATTAACCTCATCATAATCTTTATGTCTAGGTATACATAGGTAAGATATAGTAACTTAACTGAGAAAATGTAGTATCTTTTTGAGCAAACGTTTCAAGTTGTCCAAGGGTAAATGAAGTGATCTTTATATTCCTCATGGTGATTAAGGAAGAATTCAAAAGATAATAGTTTTGCTCCATGTGCCATTTGCTAGCTGTGACCCTGAGCGAGTAAGGTCATGGTTTCCCTGTCTATAAAACAAGTGTGTGGAGATGATAAAAATGATCTAAGGCACATAAGTGTCCTAACTGAAACATAGAAAGCTCTCAATAAACTTAACAATATAGGACAAGAATTCTGCAGTGACCCAGGACTAAATTAAGGAATTTGAATTGAGCTTCATTTGCAACTCGCTTGCCCCAAACCATCTCATTTTCTTTTTTTTTTCTTTTTTTTTGTGGCTGGCCAGTAAGGGGATCCGAACCCTTGATGTTCATATTATCAGCACCACACTCTGAGTGAACTAACTGAATTATATCTGAGTCCAGCATACAGATGAATCCTAAAAGAATTACATACAGATAAATCTTTAAAAGTCCAATTTTTGAAAGCTGGATTTATATAAAAAGTTACATTTATATATAGTGCCCCTAGATAGCAGACCATTTTCTTTAGACCACATTCTTTTTTCCAGAGTTGACAAGTGTTGCTGATTGGATAAAGCTCCAAACAATTAAAAACAACAACAACAAAATAAACAAAAAAACACATAGGTAGAGAAAGTGCACTTTTGAAGAACATCCTGCTTTTCTAAGATGAAATTTTAAAAGATATATTTTGGGCACAGGTTGCCTTGTAATTTCCACTGGGACATGTAGAGTTTTATCAGATTGTCTCTTTATATATTGATGGATCATAATGACACTGTTATAGGTATTCTTAAACTTTCTGACTGGCATGGTAATTTAAGATCTTGCATCCCTAAGGCAACTTGACTAGAAGCCTGGATAGGGACTCCAAGGAAAATCAGGTGACCTGGAATATGCCATGTGACCTTTTGATTTGCTTTACTTAGGTATACTCCCCTTTTTCATAGATGGCACAAAGTGGACTAGCCCTGACAATAGAGTTTTTGAAATTAACCCCAGACTAAATCCTACTAGATTAACCATTTTTATCCCTTTTCAGAATATCAGGGAATGCATTAGGAAATACTCAGTTTCAAAAAGTTATGTCTGTGGTAACTTTATACTTTTAAAAATTTGCCACAATAATTTTTATTTGTAGCACACTTATAATATTAATCACTTTTTCCTCCTTAGATCGATGTTCACTAGCGGCCTTACAGAAAGTACTCAAAAAGAAGTTCGAATAGTCGGTGTGGAAGCTGAATCGATGGATTTAGTGTTGAAGTATGCCTATACCTCCAGAGTTATTCTGACAGAGGCCAATGTTCAAGCCTTGTTCACTGCAGCTAGCATCTTCCAGATTCCTTCCATCCAAGACCAATGTGCTAAGTATATGATCAGTCATTTGGACCCACAAAATTCTATTGGGGTCTTTATCTTTGCCGATCATTATGGTCATCAGGAACTTGGAGATAGATCAAAAGAATACATTCGTAAAAAGTTTCTGTGTGTCACCGAAGAACAAGAGTTTCTCCAGTTGACGAAAGACCAACTGATAAGTATACTGGACAGTGATGATTTAAATGTAGATCGAGAAGAGCATGTTTATGAAAGCATTATAAGGTGGTTTGAACATGAACAGAATGAGAGAGAAGTACACCTTCCAGAAATTTTTGCCAAATGCATACGTTTTCCTCTGATGGAAGATACCTTTATAGAGAAAATTCCACCTCAGTTTGCAGAGGCGATAGCCAAAAGCTGTGTAGAAAAGGGACCATCCAACACCAATGGCTGTGCACAGAGGCTTGGAATGACTGCTTCTGAAATGATCATATGTTTTGATGCTGCCCACAAACACTCAGGAAAGAAGCAAACAGTGCCTTGTCTAGATATAGTCACAGGAAGAGTGTTTAAACTATGCAAACCACCAAATGACCTGAGAGAAGTTGGGATTCTTGTGTCACCAGATAATGACATTTACATTGCAGGAGGGTACAGGCCAAGCAGTAGTGAGGTCTCCATCGACCATAAGGCAGAAAATGATTTCTGGATGTATGACCATTCCACCAATAGATGGCTATCCAAACCGTCCTTGCTTCGAGCCAGAATAGGCTGCAAACTAGTGTATTGCTGTGGTAGAATGTATGCGATTGGAGGTCGTGTTTATGAAGGTGATGGGAGAAACTCACTGAAATCTGTGGAGTGCTATGACAGCAGAGAGAATTGTTGGACGACTGTCTGTGCAATGCCGGTTGCAATGGAATTTCATAATGCTGTGGAGTACAGAGAGAAGATCTATGTTCTACAGGGTAGGTGCCTAAGTGATTTAGTTGTCCGTGCAAGGGTAACACCTCAAGTTGTGGTTTACTTACTGAAATGGGTGTTAGTTCCTGTTAATTGAGGAACCTCAGGCTTCCATATCATAAACTTTGTTGGAACAGTCTGTTCTGTAAAGGACCTATAAAGAAAATAAACTTCTGCATCAAAAAAGGCAGGTATTTTGAAGTTACTAAAATTATCCTGTAAGTTTTTTAATGTTCTTGTGTTTTGATATCATGTGAAATAAGTATTTTAAAAAATATTCTTTAATAGTTCAGCATTTTGGGAGAACTGTTTCACAGCAGCTTTAAACAAGAAAGCAAGGTTGATAGATGGCTATTTTTGCTCCCCAATGATATATAATCAGGAGATGTTGTAGCAACTGCTTTTTTATGGAACTTACTGGATTAGTTTAAAAGAGAAAAAAGGACATAGCATTAACTAAAGTTATACTACTCAATTACCAAAGAATTTTTGTATAAGCCTTATAATTGCAAAAGTTGTGAAATTTAATTACACAGTTTGAAATTAGTCTTAAGATTTTAATTTCACTGCAGTTTACATTGCCTTCTATAATATGTCTTAATTTTTTTCACTGAAAAATTTAGAAATGTCATCTTTTCTTACTTTTACCATTATTAGAGGGACTACCTAACCTACGTAGCTTTTTAAAAAAAAAAAAAAAAACTGTTGAGGACCAGTGCTCTAGCAATGGGATAGAAGTAGAGTGGGTGAGAGTAAGACATTTGATACAGGGTTCTGATTCGTGATAACTAGTGTTTTCCTTATATTTGGTTTTTTCTGCATTTTAGTTGCTTGAATGTTGAATGCAATGTAGATAATATCAACATCCTTATTTCTCTTCTGTTTCTTTAATTGGTTACATATAAATGTTTTCCTCTCACCACTACTTTAATAAAACAAGGAAAAAGGGGTAACTTCTATGAAGATATATAGTTGACCCTCAAAAAACATGGAGGTTAGGGGTGCTGACCCCTCATGCAGTCGAAAATTTACATATAACTTTTGATTACCCCCAAACTGTACTAATAGTCTGTTGTTGACTGGAGGGAAGACTTACTGATAACATAAATGTTTGATTAACACATGTTTTGTATGTTATATGTATTATATTCTGTATTCTTACAATAAAGTAAGTTAGAGAAAAGAAAATGTTACCAAGAAAATGATTAGAAGAGAAAACCTCAAGAGATCACTTTTTACCCTGATATGCAATTTGCTGGAGAGACAGTTGCTCACAGGGAGATGATTTAAGCGGAGTCTCTCAATTCTTGAGCTCGCCTCAGTAGCAACAGGAGGTGGCTACAAAGTTATTACAGTAGTATAGTATGTACTACAGTTAATTTTATGCAGTTATGATTTAATACTGCATCTTTACCTTTGGTTACATTTATCTTGACTGCAAATTGTGTCATGTATGATCTGTATCATCTCCAAAAAATTTTCCAATATATTTATTGAAAAAAATCCACGTATAAGTGGACCTATGCAGTTCAAACCCATGTTGTTCAAGGGTCAGTTGAAATCCTTATCTAGTTCCTTTTTAAAATTATGTTCTTTGCCCTAATCCTTTATTTGACATAACATTTCCTAGAAATGCCTGAACCCATTTGTTTTAAGTTCAATATGAAGTTAATTCTTCATATATTTGGTACTCTTCATATACTCTTTGGTACCTCATTTTAGTTAAATAGAAGCATGGGCATGATTTGGTTTTGTTGGACTTGCTGAAAAATGTAATATAAGTAGAAGGAGTAGTACTCTTTGGTACCTCATTTCAGTTAAATAGAAGCATGGGCATGATTTGGTTTTGTTGGACTTGCTGAAAAATGTAATATAAGAATGAATGTATAATCCATCCAGTGTGGTTGGATAGGTGATATCATCCAAGATGCTGAAGCTGTGTGTGTTTATGCATTTGTATATATGTATACACATATACATGTATATATACACACACATACGTATATACACACATACACATGAGGGGTCTTCAAGAAGTTTATGGAAAGATTCGTATTATCTTTTAATTCTATTTTTCCACAAATTTTTTTGAAGTACCCTCATATGTATGTATGTCTTACTGGCTAACCAGTTAGTTGATAGTTATAATTAATTATAAGACTCCCAATTGGAATGTAAAGGTTGTGTATTAATGCAAATACTAAAGCAAAATAGCAATAATGAACTAGTAGAATTTCGGGGCTGGAACGAACATCACTTAATCTAACATTATATTTTATATAAGAGGAATCAGAGGCCCTGAGGGTTTTCTTAATTGCTTACCATTGGTTTTGATTTATTAAAGAAGACTTTAGATTTCAAAAATCAACTTTTTGTGTGTGTCATCTTTCCTTTCTATAAGAAATTTGTAGAGAAGTGGCACACAGTAGAAAGTTTAAGTTCTTAACCTCTTTATCAAGAATCCTATTACATGTTAGTCACTAAGGGCAGGAGATGTACAAGCAAAAACTGGGGGTGTAACAAGCTATTTTAAGTAAAGTGAACTTAAAGCATCACTATTATTAAGTAGGCACTTGAATTTGTAGATAAGAGTAAACCTGGTTCCAAACAGTTTTCAAGAGGAAGCTCAATTTAGAATCAGGTATTTCTAATCTAAACAAAGTCTCTCTCCATAAATAAACCTGACATGCATAGGCGGAAGCTCATGTTATATACTATCTGTGGCTACTGGACTGTTGTTTACTCTGTTCATAAAGGGTTTAAATTTTTATTACAAGGATTTTATACGAATGTTATAATTAGAAAAACTTGTAAATCTTTACTACTTTAATCCTTTCAGACATTTTTATATTGGCAGTCTGACTCAGCATACCTTATATTGGTCAAATTGCCTCAAAGTCAACTCCATAAACCATGTATATGTTTTCTGTCTTATTAAAGTCATGTTTTCTCCTGTCAAGTATTTGTTTTTGCATTTAGCTATACTCAAACACATCAGTGACCCATAAGCATAAATCTGACTAATTCCATGCGCTATCTTCTAATTAAATAATTAGCATACAAATTTATAGTGGATTGTTTATGATGAAACTTTATGGATGCACTTTGGTCTTACTGGCTGACTGTTAGCAGTAATGCTTTTTTAGAGCTGGCTTAATGTAAATTTTCTTTAACATGCAAGTGGATAGAACAGATGGTTAAGAATCAAGCTCTTAACAATTATTCTGCCATCAAGCCAACGTAACTCCGTATACTTACCCAGTGCAAACATCTCAATTCAGGTTTACTTTAAAATTATCTGTTATATTGTATCATGGAATGAAAAAGTCTTCAGGTATTTTGTAACCTAATATTAATGTATCTAGAGATTATAAAAGAAATATTTTAGAAAGCGAAATATTTGGAAAATTATGCTCTTTAGGCTTCAGAGGTTAGAATTTCTACATACAACCAAAAAAATAAATCATGAAAATGTATTTTCTTTTTCTTTTTTTTAGGAGAATTTTTCCTCTTCTATGAGCCTCAAAAAGACTACTGGGGTTTTTTAACCCCTATGACTGTGCCTAGAATCCAGGGCTTAGCAGCTGTATACAAGGACTCTATTTACTACATAGCTGGAACCTGTGGAAATCATCAGCGTATGTTTACTGTAGAAGCCTATGATATTGAGCTAAATAAATGGACTCGTAAGAAGGACTTTCCATGTGATCAGTCCATAAATCCATACCTAAAGCTGGTACTTTTCCAGAATAAACTCCATTTATTTGTTCGAGCCACTCAAGTGACCGTTGAAGAACATGTCTTCAGAACCAGCAGAAAAAATTCCCTTTACCAATATGATGACATTGCTGACCAATGGATGAAAGTGTATGAGACCCCAGATCGGCTCTGGGACCTTGGCCGGCATTTTGAATGTGCTGTTGCTAAACTCTATCCTCAGTGTCTTCAGAAAGTGCTCTAATGAGTTGAGCAGCCTTAGTGCGTCACTGGCATCTCAGACTTAGGAAACTCGTCTTAGGATACAAAGGAGTGCTGTCAGTATTTAAGAAAGCTGAGTTTTGTACATGGAAAAATGGGTGCTCTTAAAGATTACAGTGTAGGGAGGGATTTGCTTTCATCCTTGTGATGTTTTCATTTCAGTAAGGAAACAGTGCAATTATCAGCATTTTTTTTTCCTGGCATAAAAGTAATCATATTATTCTAGAATTTTGTGATTGTCACTGAGATACCAGATGAATCAAGGTAACTATGCACTCTTATAGGAGCAATTAGGGCATTGTTGAGTAGAGACATCCAAACTAGTTTGATGTGAGTTTTTGTTTTAAATACGGGTAACAATCTGAGGCAATATCACTAGGACTTTATTTTAGCTGTGACCTCTCTAACACAGAGAAGCACTAACTTAGATCCTCATTCTTAATATTTATATATGAGTATATATATATATATATATATATTTGTGTACTGTTTTTGAGTGTACTGAGATTTAAATGTGTTCTGTTATTACAGTAGATTGAAGGAAAAATAAGTCAGTCTCAGAGCTTTTAGTCTGATTGTTCCATATTTCTCACGCAACTGTAAGTTAAGTTAAAGTTTTGAAGTGGCAGTTTTGTGTCAGTAACTTTCTCAAGGCTAGCACTGTCTTATTTCTTAAAATCCCAAAAAGTGCTCAAATTCACAGGTGGCTGGTGCTAGTATAAGTTAATTTCACGTGTGTAGCTAGATAGATTTAAATGGTCTGAGCCTATGCTTATCTTTCAAACTAGTATGTTAGTTTTATGGCCACAGGACTTTACTTGTTGAACTCTTGTGATTTCACAAGATTCTCTACCTATGTGATAGTAGGATATGGCCAGTTATTGGTCTAACTGGACTCAGTCTTAGAATAGTAAGAACATTATACCCAGTTTGCACTAGCCTGGGCTATTTTGTTGCCCGACCTCCTTTTCCATCCTCTCCTATCCAGCCATCATCCCATCATCGGTACAATGAAAGGTAACTTATTTCTCTTCTGCGCAGAGCATAATGTGAAGTTTTACACCTAGTTTTAAAATTCTGTTTTGCAGAAACATAAAACTCCTTCAGTGGTCTAACTTAATAGCTTTTAAGTTTTATATTACAATTAAAACCTCATTTTTTTTTTCATTTTTGCACTTAACAGTGATGAATACTTTTACATTAAAATCCTTGCTCTAGCTTAAGGTGATTAAAAAGCAAAGTGAGTGAATAGAAACATAGCTTTATAGGTACTAAATTGTTTTTCACATTTAACTGATGAATTTCTAACAGTCAGTTAGGAATATTAACATGAAGGACAAACCAACTCATTTGTATATCTAAAGCAGGTATTTGGATCAGTAACTTATTTTTTACCATGTCTAGAATAGTTGATAAAGGATATAAGTATAGCCTACAGTCTGTCCTCAATCGAACATTTTATTCTCATAAAGAAAGCAAACTGGCATGTTTGTATTTTAAAAAAAAAAATCTTGCACAAATTGTAATGTGATACTGTGAAACAAATTTATAACATTGCCTCTTTGCATCACATACCTCGTTTTTCAGAAACTTTCCAAACTGCTTTACATCGACCTCTACAAGCAGGGAACGTTTTCTGAAACAGCTGTTCAAGTGGACAGCATATATAGAATTAACATTTTAAAATCTAGTCTTAGAAAGCTAGATATGTGATTTCTTCTTTTCTGGACTTGTGAGTGTGTCTTATCTATAATCTCTGTATAAACTTTGCCAAACAATGTTTTTACCTCCCTAGTTTTTATCTTCTGTTTTCTTTATCTTCAGGCTGTTTGTGGGTTATTTCTGTGAGTTTTTTGAATGATTCTTTATAGTTTTGCATTGTTGAGGGAAGGAAACAAAAATAGCCAATTTTTGCAAGAGGTGTTCATATAATTTATTTTTGAAAGCTTTGTTGACTATCTAAGATTTTCTGCCGCTTTTTGACAATCTTCTGAATTTAGAAAAATGTATTACTTGAAAATATGACATAGATCATTGAGTTAGCAATTTATATGTGCCGTATGACATATAAGAGAACAACATACTGGGTTAATTCTACAGTAGATTTATTCTCTTGATCTGCACAACAGTTGATCCTTTTGCTATAACAAATTTATATTGAGGGTATGGTCTAAGTACAGTGTGTCAAAGTCAAGGTTTTGGATTTGCTATGGGAGTGGAATATATATTGAATTTTGTATGAAGAACTATTTGTTTAAATAACATAGCTACGATATTTTGCTACTTTTAAAATGGATTCAGAAGAGGTCCTAAAAAACTAAGATTAGTGATGTGTGTGGATTTATGTTTAGATATTTAGGGTACATTTTCATAGTATGATGAGGATATAAGTGAAAGGCACAATGGGTACTACAGAATGAAAGTATAGCTCTAACATATGCCAGTCCCACTATAACTTTGTTTTGCATTTGAAGAATGTATGTGGCACTTTCCTATATATTTTTTACACATTGAAAACTGGACTTGACCTAACTGTGTTATGGGAAAGTAGAAATTATATTCTTTATTTTCCATCTTTGTTTTCTGTTATCATATAAAGCTGATGCTTAAGCATCAAGCTGATTTCACTGGTGCATGAGAAGAAGTGGATGTGATTGGCAAGGAATCAGATTCCCTATGTAAAGCAGTTTAAAATGACGTTCAATGTTCAGTGCTCAGGTATGTAGTAAGTACTGTAGTCCTATGGGGGCAAATGTGTAGATATTTTTAAACATTTTGCCATAATTGCACAATTTTTTGCATTTTTACCTGTCATTGTTTCTTATAATAAAAACTTTTCTGATTGAAAACTTCCAGTGTTGTAAACTAACTTCTGACCAATGAGTTTTGTAGAATTAAAATTTGGTGGAAATCATGAAATACCTAATGTCATGGTGGAATGGAATGAGATTTTAATCTATTGAATATTTGGTCTTTGGTAGAAAATGAACTAGTTAATATCAACATATACAATGCTTTTTAAATTGTAAAGCAAGCTTACTTATATCAGTAACTCCTTTGTTCTGTTTGTTCTGGCCTAAAATCTTGTTATCCTTGACTCTTTTCTCTTAGACACTTACATCCAATCCATCAAAAAAATCCTGTTGCCTCTTGCTTTAAAATGAACCCAGATTCTGACCATGTGCCACTTGCACTGCTGTCTAAGCATCCTATCTTGTCTGCCTTAATGCAGTTGCCCTTGAACCTGTCTTCCTCCCATCACCCCTGACCCCTCATAATCTATTCTTTTCTCTGCACAGTAGTCAGAGTGATTCTGTTAAAACATTCATCAGATCATGTCCATATTCTACTCAGATCCCTCCAGTGTCTTCCCATCTCCCTTCATATGAATGAGAGCCAAACTCTTTACATGATCTGTACCCCACAACCCCATCTCTTAGACCTTATCACCATTCTCCCAGCTCACTCTATTCCAGCCACACTGACCTTGCTGTTCTTCAAACACACCAAGCACCTCCAACATCAGGGCATTTGCCCTTGCTGTATCTTTTGCCAGAGAAGCCCTGACAACTCACTTTATTAAAATGTCACCTTACCAGAGAGGCCTTCCGTGATCAGCTGATGTAAAATAAGATGATCCTCTCTTCAATTCCACCCCCACCCATACCACCTTTTCCTGCTTAATTTTTCACCGATGTCTTCCCTCACACAAATGTAAGTTCCATGAAAGCAAGGAATTTGTTTTATTTACTACTGCACTTTACGTCAGTACCTGACACATATTAGGCACGAATAAATGTTTGTAGACAGAAATGAATTTTCAGTTAAGTCTCAGAGCAGCTTGAGAAGTGGCGGGACCAGTATTATCTCTATTTTATCATATAGGAAATACAAAGACCAAGTGAATTGCCAAAGGTCATCTAATTAATGAATAGCTCACCTGGGGTTAGAGCCAAGATTTCCCTTTTTACCTAGTTCCTACATGCTGCAATAGTTCGAAACAAAGCTGATAGAAAAGATAGATGCTCTGTATTTTGTGTTTAATGGTTGCCTTTATAGAGTTCCGTTATTATTTACACCATTATTTAAACTATCTACTGTAATTTATAACTGTGATTCTCAACCAGGGAATAGATGAGGTGGGAAAATACCTTCTCTCTGTTTCCTTGCTGTTATGAAATCTGTCCCTTAAATAATGTTTTAGAAGAGATTGTGGAAAATAGGTATAATTTCTACCTTAAATGTATGGTAGATTTTACTGGTGAAATCACTTGGACCTGATGCTTTATTTTGGAAGGTTATTAATTCAATTTTTTTAGTAGATAATAGGCTTTCAGTTTATGTATTTCTCCTTGTGTTAATTTTGTCTTTCAAAAGATTGGTCCATTTCATCTATGTTATCGAATCTGTGGGCATAGGGTTGTTCATAATAGTCTTTTATTATTCTTTTAATGTCCATGGAATCAATAATGATAAGCCCTCTTTCATTTCTGATGCTGGTAATTTGTGTCTTTTTTTCTTAGTTAACCTAGTAAGGGGCTTGTCAATTTTATTGTTCTTTTCAAAGAACCGGGTTTTAGTTTTAATGATTCTTTATTGTTTTGTGTTTTAATTTAATTGATTTCTGTTCCAATTTTTATTGTTCGTTTTCTTCTGGTTGCTTTAAGCTTTAATTGCTCTTCTTTATCTTAAGTAGTTAAGGTAGAAGCTTAGGTTGCTGATTTTAGATCTTTTTCTAATACATGCATTGAATGCTTTAAATTTCCCCCTAAGTACTGCTCTTGTATCATCCCACAAATTTTGGCATGTTGTATTTTTATTTTTGTAGTACAAAATATTTTTATCATGTCGTCTTGGATAACATATCGTTTCATAATTATGTAGTGCTTCTCTTCATCTCTGATAATCCTCCTTGTTCTGAAGACTTTCCTGTTTAAAAGTAATATAACCACTCTTTTAATTAGCATTAGCTTGATTTATTTTTCTCCATCTCTCATCCCTTTTATTTTAACCTATCTTAGTCTTTATACTTAGAGAGGGTTTCTTGTACACAACTTATAGTTGGGACTTATTTTTATATCCACTGTGAGAATCTGTCTTTTAATTGGTATATTTAGACCACTTGCATTTAAAGTGATATAGCTGGATTAACATCTACCATATTCGTTACCATTTTCTACGTTGCCTTTGTTCTTTCATTTTTTTCACCTATTTTTCTGCCTTCTCTGGTTTTGATTGAGCATTTTATATAATTCTATTTGATCTCCTCTTAGCATATCAATTATACTTTAAATTTTTTTTCAGTGGTTGCCTTAGATTTACTATATACATTTTATAACTAGTCCATCTTTAACACTATATCGCTTCATGTGTAGTGCAGGTACCTTACAACAGAGCTCCCAATTCTTCTCTTCCCTCCCTATAACACTGTTGTCTTTCATTTCATCCCTATTCTATAACCACTCAATACATTGTTACTATTATTTTACAGTTATCTTTTTAGATCAACTAATATTAAAAAATAAAATTTTACCTTTATATACTCCTCCTCTGACACTGTTTATTTCCTTATATAGAGCTAAGTGTCTGTCCTATACCAATTTTCTTCCACTCACAAAGACCTACTTTTATTTGACATTGTCTGTGGCAGATCCAGATTCTTTGTTCATCCATGAAAGAAGAATCTTTCATGGGACCGACAAAAGAAAAGAAAGAGAGGGACAGAGGAAGGGAACATAATAGGGCTTTATTACCAAGTGAAAGTATAGCCAAAAAAGTACACTGGCTTCTCCACAATGCATGTGCCTCTGACGTTGTCCTTTCCCTGTCCCACCAGAAACCCCTAAATGGCTGTCTTCTACCCCTCTTGTTCCGCCTATTGCCCCGGCGCTGGCTGATCCAGTCTGAATGTTTATGAACAGTCTCCATGGGGCGTGTCCTTATTCTGCCCTGCCTCACTTGCAAGGCAGGTCTGCAGGTGACGAATTCCTTCAGATTTTTTGTTTGAGAAAGTATTTCTCCTTCATGTTTGAAGAATAATTTTGCTGGATCCAGAATTCCAGATTAATGGGTTTTTGTTTCAATTTTTTAACTGAATAGTGTTCTGATCAAATCTCAGTCTTTTAGTGAGCCTGTGTCTTGGGTCTGTGACTTTCCCAGGTGTTTCTCCAGGGGTATTTGTTTTAATTTTCCTTGCTCCATCCTCCCTTCCCTGGCTGCAGCATTCCCAGTCTTGTTTCCTTGAAGCCTGGAACCCTGTGGACTCTGTTTAATTCTTTTCCCTTCAGGTGAGAAGAGAAGGATAGAGAGGTTGGGGTGGGAGGAATGACCTTCTCCCAGCTTTTATCAAGCTCAGTCAAAGTATTTTTCCCTAGAGAGTAGACTTTTATTTTGGAAAAGGTTTTGGGTGTGTTTCATCATTGTCATGCCTCCTTTCCTCCAGCCAGAGCCACTAAGGGACCTTTCTCAGACTGTTGCCATGAGAACCTGGTAGGTTTCCTGTCAGTAAAATCCACAGAAGTGTAGGGGCCCTGCAAGACTGAAATTCCTCAGAGTTTCTCACTGTCGTGGAGTCCACACTCAGCCTCTACCAATTCATCAAAATTACCGTGTAAGTATTCTTACCAGTTTATGGTTCTAGCTACTTCTGATCCAGGTAAGCAGATCTTGACTGTGCTTTCTGGATTCACCTATACTCCAAATTTCAGGGTGACTGTTTGTCCTGCATCCTAATTTCTCTGATGGGTCCAAGAAAAGTCATTGATTTTCAGATTGAGTAGCTTTTTCTTGTTGTAAGTTTGGGAGTGACAACATCCAAGACCTTTACATTTTCAGTGCTCAATCTAGAAGTCCCTGTAATAAGCTTCTAATACATATTTGTTGATTGAATGAATTATTCTTTAGTTCATACATAAATATTTTATCCCCTCTTTTGTATGATGTATTTCACAATAAAAAAGTCAAAAAGTTAGACTCACTTTGTAAAACATGTTTATATACTTAATCATATTTAGGTACCTTTTATTTGTAATTTACGTGGCTGTGTATACGTGGCATAGTTCAGTGAATGTTGACTCTCAAATACCTAATAACCCAGCTTTCTAAGGACCAAATTAAAATTATATGGTATAATTTAATTAAAGTCATCAATTATTTTCAGCTTTTTTAGCCAAACTATTCAAACTAAATTGAAAATTACAATGTAATCATCTTACTCTTACCATGTATATACAGAACATTTTCTATTGGCTTGTTTATTACAAATAAATGAGGTTTAATAGATCCTCTTCCTTTCTTTCCTCTTCCACAAATATGACAACTGTATGATTTTGTGGACAAAACATTACAATAGATATTAGCAAATAGAAAATGTGTGATATATTTTCTAAGTATTTTATATTAGTCTTCTGAACATGAATAATAGTATTTTGGTGACTATGGGCAGACTGCTTAACCTTTCAAAGCTTCAGTTTTCTCATGCATAAAATAGGCTAATAATATAACCCATCTTACAGATTTTTTGTGAAGATTAAATAAGCATGTAAAATACTTATCATAGTGCCTGACACATAATGAACACTCAATAATTATTTGTTGTTGTTAGTATTATTAACAACTATACTGCTGTCTTTTAGATATACTTAAAACATAATCTTTGTAGAGCAATATTCCTTAATAGCTAGTATAAAGTATATGTTAAAGAGAAGTGTAGCCATTTGGACTCTGTGCCCATAAGCCATGCATGAAAACAATTTTCACAGTTTTACAGTCACACAGTTCTCACTTTCCTTTCTGGACCATGCATTTCTAAAGGATTGAAATTAAACAAATGGTATTTAAAGCAATTTAT